TCCATTTTGGCCTTGTTTGAGTTGCTGCCCAAGGCCTCCAAATAAAGACTACAGAGCTTTATGGTCCCTCATTTGTAGCCTGAATGCCACGATTTTTTCTAGGTTCAGGAGTCAATAGGAGGAAGGAGCAGTTGTTGTAACAACCTTCGGTGCTTCTGAGAGCAACATCCAATTGTCTTGTTCACAGGAGACGTTAACTGGTGCTCAGCACTGATGAGAATCTTCTCCCAGGTTCTGCAGTGGAGCCAGTTGCCCTGATGTGCAGAATTCTGTAGGGTAGCATCACTGGTTGTAAGATTATAGGGGAAATAATTGTTACAGAAACACTGGATTAATAGTGGGAGGAGGACACTTAAAAGCTGGTTGGAATGTGTCTCTTAAAGAGGCATTCACAATGTTCAGTCACTGTGGCTGTGAAGGATGAGCAGGTGCAGAAATTCTCAGACTTCTGAGCTGGGAATCTTGTAGAGCAGAGGGTGTTATGAGAGAAAATAATCTGAAGGTTCTGTGGATTTCCATAGCCTCTCTGGGCCATCGTCCTCAAGGCCATTTCTGTGCAAGCAGAAGAACAAGGATATGGAGGAGGGATATCGCTTCATCGAATAATGGACTCTGTGACCCAGCCAGTATTCCTGTTGAATCACGTAGGAAGTGTTTACTCTTTTCCCCCCAGATGGCCCCATGTGACATTTATTTTGAAATTTGTCAGTGATGCTTATATTAATTCATTCTTTTTATATTGATGAGAAGTACGATGTACTGTGGGTTTATTCCTTTGTCTGTTTATGCGTATTTGAGTTGTTTCCAGTTTCTGACAGTTTTAAGTAAAACTGCTGTGGGCATGTGAATCCACTTCTTCATGTGGTTACGTCTCACTCTTTCTATTTTAATACTCTGAGGTTCAGTGCTTGGGACACAGGGTTAGTTAATGTGTAGCTTTTTATAGAACTCCATAGTATGATCTGAAATGTTTGTGTCCTTTGGTATTCCTACCAGAACAGTTTGGGACTTCCAGATCTTCCTTATCCCTTGCCAATATGTTTAGTCTTCTTATACTTTTGACCTTTTAAGTAAATACGTAGCAGTATCTCACTGTGGTTTTAGTTGTATTTCTTAGATGTTTTTTGATGTGGAGCATTTTTTCATTTCCCACTTGTATGTTGTCTTTAGTAAAATGTCTTTTTATAATTCTTGTCCACTTAGGAGGCAGGGTAATTTGCTTGTTAATGGAGGTACTGGGGATTGAACCTAGGACCTCATGCATGCTAGGTGTGCACTCTACCACTGAGCGATACCCTCCCCTGCTTTTTGTCCATTTTTTAAAATGAATTGACTGTTTCTCTCTTTATTAACAAATAAGATAATGAAACAAAGAAGACTTATTTGAAATTCCATTCTTTAGATATGTGACTCCTGCTGTAAGAAATAATTATTACTGAATACTGAAATGCTGTTTCCTAAGTTCTGCTGCACGCAGTGGCTACATACAGAATACACTTTTAAGTTTAATCTGTATTACTGACATATACTCCATCACTTTCATAAGTGTAGATTTTATTAAACAATAAAATCGTCAAGCCAAGATTTGTACTGTTCGCAGTTTTCCCCGTGTAAGTATTCCCACTGTGGTCAATTCAAAACTTCCAATGTGACATCACTGAACACAGAGTTTGAAAGTTGCTAGTAGCACACTAATATATATTCCACCTTAATGATGGTGGGAAAATGTGCCACTGAGAACATAGGAAAAAAATATAGTGAAATGATTAGGAAGTCAGAAGTTTTTACATATTTTTAAACAGTTCAGTTGTCGTAAAATTGCATAATGTGAACTGCACATATTTCAAATGTACATTTTAGTGGTTTGACACATGCTTCCATTTGAAACCAAAACTTTACTACTACTCATTTTGACTCATCCTTCACAACATAAAATTACTGATACAGTGACTTATCTCTTATGGCTATTTCCAGTAGCCACAGAAATGGAAAAGACTGTGTTACGAACCTGGATGAACCCTTTCCTAATCTACCATCATTACTGGCATTTCATGGCCGTTCTTGTTTCATCCACCTTCATGTACACTAGTGGGTTACTTTACTTTTAATCCCAGACATAACATTTAAGCATAACTGCCTCAGAATGCATTTTTAGAAATTGAGTGTTCCTTCATAACCCCAATAACTATCACTGAAAACATTTAAAGATGGAAGTATGTTGTGAATGCTCAGTTATTGTAATTGTCTCAAAAGCATGTTTCTTTAAGGCAAATTGATAGCAGTCAAGATTCAAAATGTATTCTTATGGTTTTCAGTAGCTGTGTCTCATTAAGTCTCTTAATATTCAAGTCTCATCATTTGTATTCTTATTTGTTCATCAGAATTTGGCAGATTCTAGATGTGGCTTATTGAGTCTCTGATACTGTTTACCTGATGACCCTTCCCCCATAACCCTGTACACCAGATATTGATGAGATGGGTGATTTAAGTTTGGTCCCAGCAGACCAGTATGTGACGGTGACTGGTAAATAAAAATAAAATCTCTGGACTCAGAAATCCTCTCCTCAAAGGTAGTAGTGACAGAAAACACTTTTTTAACTGAGTAAGCATTAAACCAGAATTTGGTATGTATCACAGGCCACATGCTAAGACATTGCAAAGGCTGAAAAAAACTCTGCTCTATGTTGCAAAGCAGATACAACCCATTACATGTTTTGAAGATAAACAGTAACTAGTTGCCTAGCTCTATTACGTGTTCCATGCTTAGTCACTGGCTGAGAGCCGCCTGCCGACAGTGTGGCTTCTGGGATGTGTGGTGGCTCCCAAGGCAGCACAATGAGGGGCTGTTGGCCAGCTGCACTTTGAGAACAAAATCCATCCTGAAGGGAGAACTGAGCAGCGTACTTGCATGGCTGCCCAGAACTGAAATCAGGGATAATCTATGAATAATTTTAAATATGGTTTGGGCAGAGCAAAGAGGCAGCAGAATAATCCTTTGGTAGGTCTCTTAGTTTCTGAAACTTCCATCTCATTCTTATTTTAAAACCATCAATGTAGGTCTAGCCGAAAAGTAAGAAATAAGCCCTGAAAACACACGCGCACGCACACACACAGAGTCAGGAGAATTTGATTGCTCCACTTGTCACACATAGTTCTTCCTAAATTTTTCGGGCAATGGGCGTGATTATTGTGAAAGGAAAATCAAAATGAAGTCGATGTTCCTAAGAACACTCTAAATTTGAGCCAGGAAGCTACTAAGGAAGTGTGGCTTAATGCACCTCTCAGCCTGGATGGAATCTGATCTTTTGACCACCTATTGTCCTAATGAAGTCATCTAGAATTTCTGCAAGAAACTCAAGATACATATCAGACCCTTACCCTAAAATAACTTGTGACAGACTATCTACTTATTGGACCCCTACCCTAAAATAAGTCCTGGTTCCTTAAGGACAAATACTTCCTAAGTATTTGTTGCATCAGTCGATCACAATTCTTGCCAGGCAACTTCAGCAACTTCATGGCTTCTTGTCTTTGTAAACCCCTGACTCTTTCCCTGGAACACTTGTGGGGTCACCTGAATTTATGCCTCCTGAATTGCAGTCCTAAGACCCTGGATAAACTCTCTTTTACTTATAGCCTCCTGCCTTATTTTTTGGTTGGCGTTACATCTGTCAGAAGTGGGATACAGCATGATCTGCAAACTTTAACACCCCATGGATTTGAGTAAGGTGCCTACGAGAGACCATTGTGCTTTACCATCTCCTTGGTCGTGCTTGCTGGTGAGTCCTCCTGTACCTAAGCCACCTATCTTCGTAGAAGTTCTAGTTTTATTTGGGTATCCTCTGTTGCTGGCTTCTGTCTTCTGGGATTTTGCTTCCCATTTTGTTTGGGTTAGCGGCTTCTGTTCTCAACATTTCATTTCCTGTTTTGTTTTGATGAGCCATTACCCTTGGAATATGGGAAGTTCTCTCTCTTTTCAAATTAGTTTTTTTTTCCAAAAAAATACCCAGAAGTGGAATTACTGGATCTTATGTTATTTCTATTTTTAATTTTTTGAGGAATCTCCATAATATTTTCCATAGTGGCTGCACCAATTTACATTCCCACCACAGTGCACGAGGGTTCCCTTTTCTCCATATTCTCACCAACACTTGTTATTTGTTGTTTTTGACAGGCCCTCTGCCCATTTTTTCATCAGGTTGGTTGTTGTTATGTTGAATTGTACGTGTTCTTTGTATATTTTAGATATTAACCCCTTATCAGATGTATCATTTACAATATCTTCTCTCATTCAGTAGGCTGCCTTTTCATTTTGTTGGTAGTGTTCTCCACTGTGCAAAAGCTTTTTAGTTTGATGCAGTCCCATTGCTTCATTTTTGTTTTTGTTTCCCTTGGAGACATATCCAAAAAAATGTTAAGACTGATGTCAGAGAGCATACCGCCTATGTTTTCTTCTAGGAGTCTTATGGTTTCAGGTCTTAAATTTAATTCTTTAAACTATTTTGAGTTTATTTTTTGTAAGTGGTATGAGAAACTTACATAGTTTGATTCTTTTGCATTTAGCTGTCCATTTTTCCCAACACCATTTATTTTAGAGATTGTCTTTTGTGCATTGTTTCTTCTTTTCTCCTTTGTTGTAGATTAATTGACCACATACTTGTGAGGTAATTTCTGGGATCTCTGTTCCATTGACCTAGGTGTCTGTTTTTGTGCCAGTACTGTGCTATTTTGATTCCTGTAGCTTTGCAGTATAGTTTAAAATCAGGGCATGTGATAATTCCAGGTTTGTTCTTATTTCTCAGGATTGTTTTGGCTATTTGGAGTCTTTTGTGTTTCCATGCAAATTTTATAATTATTTGCTCTAGTTCTGTGAAAAATGTCATTAGTATTATGATAGGGATTGCATTGAATCTGTAGACTGCCTTGGAGAGTGTGATCACTTTGATCATATTAATTCTTTCAGTCTATGAACATAGTGTATCTTCCCATCTGTCTGTGTCATCTTCAGTTTCTTTCACCAATGTCCTGTAGTTTTCCAAATGTAGGTCTTTTACCTCCTTGGTTAGATTTATTCCTATGTATTTTATTCCCTTTCTGATGCAACTGCAAATGGGACTACTGTCTTAATTTCTCTTTGTAATAATTTTGTTGTGAGTGTACAGAAATGTAACATGTCTCGGTATATTAATTTTGTATCCTGCAACTTTACTAAATTCATTGATGAGTTCTCATAGTTTTTTGGTCAAAGAATCTTTTAGTGAAATAATTTTTAATTCCAAATTTTCTTCAGAGACCTCTGCATAGCAAAAAACAAAAAACTGCCCATTGGGCTTATCAGAACTTAAAGTACCTCTCAGATGAACTTTTTTTTTTTCAAACAGAATGATCCCGAGCATGGCCACTGAAGGTCTAAATCATCTTTGCTGAAACTACATCATTTATAAAGATAGATGCAAGAATTCAGATTCTAATGAGTCTGTATAAGAAGCACAAGATTATTCCTGGTAGATTTAGGTGATGGTACATGCAGATGCATGTACACTTCAGGCCTCAAGCCCCAGACTGACAGTGTACCACCTACAAACACAGACCCAGCCATCAGCACCCCTGGTCAGGCTGAAAACCTGCATGCATCCATTCCAGAGTCTGTGGGCTCTGCCACCCCAGCTGCTCCTTAGTGCTTTGTCCACGTGGAAGTTGTGGGTCAGGGTTAGAAGCCCCATTTCCCTCTCCCTGGACCTGGAAAATAGTCCTCGAGGCACAGCTCACTTATACTGGGCAGAGTGCCCAGAGCTGCTCACAGCCCGCCTGCCGACCCTCTCCCCAGGGCCTCCAAGAAAGGGCTCTGTAAGCACCCCCACCCCACAGATGGGGACACAAGAGGCTCCGGCACAAGCAGACAGTCCTGCTGCTGGGAAAAGGCAGAGTAGAGACCCGAACCCCACAGCAGAAGTGTCTCAGGGTGCCTCCTGGGGAGACAGCTGACCTGGGCAGCTCCCCACTGGATGAAGACTTAGCTGCAGCCTCTGAGTAGGACCCCAAGTAGGGGTCAGAGCTGTTCTGGGAAGAGCCCCCTGTTGGCACTGGAGCCCTGCAGCCCACGAAACCCTCGGAGGTCATCGCAGGCTCCCCGGGGCACTGCAGCACCCTGCAGGTATCAGGACCCTAACAGCTGCTGCCCTGCGGCCTCCCTCTGGGCCCCACCCTACACATCCCCCAGGAGCCCCTGAGCCGGCTCCATCTTAGCCCCGTTTTGCACTGGGGGACTGAGTATGTGTGGGCTGGAGGGTGTGTATCTTGCTGTGACCCCAGGAGAGGCAGGGATGCAGAAATCCACACCAGGCTCGCCCGCTGCATCCTCCTCCCCTCCAGCCTGGTTCCCCACAAAAAGTCCCTTCTGCTTCCCTCAGGCTCCTCCTTACCCTCCCCACTGGTGCCCTGCAGACCTCCTCCCGGATGCTGGTGGTCCCTCAGTTAGTTTGCTAAGGTTGCCAGACCAGGGCACCACAGTCCGGGTGCTTTAAACAGAAAGTTATCTCTGCACAATTCCAGGGGGTGGAAGCCTGAGATCAAGGGGTTAACCTAACAGTGGCTTCTTCTGAGGCTACAGTTGTAAGTGGCTGTCCCCTTCCTGTGTCTTCATGTGGTCTTCCCTGTGTGTGCGTCTGTGTCCTGTTTTCCTCTGTGTATAAGGACACTGGTCACACTGGAATAGCAACCACCCTGATGACCCCATTTGACCACCTTAAAGACCCTATCTCCATATTCAGTCCCATTCTGAGGTATTGGGGGTTTAGTACTTCAGTGTATGAATTTGGGGGACACAATTCTGCCCATAACAGCCCCACCCATCTTTTCACAGGCAGTTAATGAGGCGGTCTCCTGAGAAATTACATCATTTAACAACCCCAGAAGTATCCAGCAGAGGAGCTATTTATTTCCACTTCTCAACGGAGGGATCTGCAGCTCAGAGAGGGTGAGTGACTTCCACAAGGGCACACAGCCACCAGACATCTGAATTGGGGAAGATTATCCCTACACTCTACTCTGGGTCAGCTTACCTACTTCCCTCACATCCTCTCCTGACAGAAATAGCCAGCCAGACCCTGGACTCCACTGGACTCCATTCCAGTGAGACCATCCACTGAGCACTGAGCCATCACATAACGAACCCCACCCCTGGCCCAGGGCCTCCATGCTCCCCTCCCTCTCGGGCATGCAGTGTCTTCCCTGGTGTCACCCTGGACACATGACTGGCCCTTGCTGCCACACGTGAGTCACCCAAGGGTTGTTGGTCTTCCTCCGAATACTGCCCCAGGGAGTTTCCTCCAGTCAGTGCCCCAGCACTCAGCTGTCACCTAGGAATTATGTCACTATTGTGGACACTGGAAGACATGCTAAAGACCAAGAATGTCTGATGTGACCCTCAACCGTCCCTGTCTCCCTGGCCCTTCCTCTCACCCTCTCCAGCCAATGACTCTAGCCCTGACTGCTCCTTCCCACCCCTCTAGGTACAAAGCAAACCAATGAATGAAACTGCTAATCCCTAAGAAAGTTCTGGTGCTCTCCTAGGGAACTGACCTTGACTGCCTTTCCCTACATGGGCTAGATGAGGTCTGGCCCCCTTATAAATCCTGCACTTGTCAGTGACAGGATAATGGCCTCCCAGATTTGTCACTGCATCCTCGGGGGTATGTGAGGTGCCCCAGGTTGTGCTGATAAATGTCAGTGTCACAGACCTGCCGCACAGGGTCCCCAGTGTGTGTGCAGCTCATATCCAAGGCCTGAAATGTTTGTTTCCAGGCTGTCATGGTGTGGTGGCAAGACAGTCACACTCCCTGTGTTTCTAGGTGTGTCACATACAAACTATTTTATTTGACAGATACACATTTTAAAATTGAGAGATTTTAATTCTCCCTGTTGAAAATGGGGAGATTTCCTTCTCCCTCAGAGCATTTACTTTAGAACATTTCTAACTGTCACATCTCTTTAAAATTCATGTCTTTGGAGACTACACAAGCCTTTTTTCAGCTGGCTTTTTTTTCCTTCCAGTTTTAGGATTCGAAGATGTCTTTCTCAAGAACCTTGCAGCCATCCTTTCAAACTGCAGACATCAAGGGAGACAGCTCGCTTGTCAGTTCCTGTGGGAGGACAGGAGTCTCATCGTAGTGGACACCTTGCTCCAACATGAAAACTGTCTCCAATAGAGAGGTGAGAAGTTTGTTTTTCCTATGGATAAAGCCAGTAAGCTGACACAGATACTCACCTCAAACAGTGCTGTCGGCTCTTCTTACTTGAAGGCCCGTTATTGTTTATCTTGAATATGCATGTCCAGTGGGTTGTACTGCTTAGCTATTTGTGAGATTTTTTTCTCTCCTTGCTACTTCCTAGTGGACTGCCTTTGATGCACATCTATTTTGGTTTCATGTTTATTTAAGAATAAGATTGGTTTTGTCTCTACCTTTGTGAAGAGGGTTTCTAGGTTGGGAGAAATTTTTGTTTTTACTTCCCAGTCACAATCACTCATCTGTCTGCAGGGATCAAACCTCACCACTCATCACATCAACACCTAATGTACAGGAAACAGGGGGAAGGGTGAACAGTGAAACAGCATGAGAGACTCAAAAGGCCACATCTAGAGTGTGCCAAATTGTGATGAACAAATGACAGAAAATTATAAAAAACAGATAATACGAATTTTAAAAGGTAAGTGGACCCTACATGTTAAGAGACCTAGAAATGCAGCTGCTGATTTTGTTTTGGATTCTTTCATATTTGTTCTTCAAGAGTCTGGCTAAAAGGTTTATCAACTGTCTTTTCCAAGACCCAGCCTTTGCTTCCATTGATCTTTCCTATTTTTTTTTTTTAAGACTGTTTTGTTTCTGCTCTGATCTTTGATTTCTTTCCTTCTACTAACTTTCGTTTTGTTGGTTCTTCTTTGTGTAGTTCGCTTAGGCATTAGGTTCGGTGGTTTGAGTTCTTGTTTCCTGAGCTAAGCTTGTATCGAAATCAACTTCCTTCTTAGAAGTGCTTTTGCTGTGGCCCGTAGGTTTGGGGTCATCAGATTTTCCTTTCTATTACCTCTCTGTATTTGTTTCAGGTTTCCTTTGATTTCTTCAGTGACCCATTGGTTGTTTAACAGCATATTGTTTAGCCTACATGTGTTTCTATTTTTTGTAGATTTTTTTCATGTATTTGATTTCAAATTACATAGCGTTGTGATTTGAAGGTGCTTAATATGATTTCAGTTTTCTTATTACTGAGGCCTGTTTCATGGCTTAGCATGTGACCTGTCCTGGAGAGTGCTCCACGTGCACTTGAAAGGCATGTGTCCTCTGCTGGTGTCGGATGGAATGCTGTCTCCATCAATCAGTAAAGTCCATCTAGTGGGATGTGTCCTGTGCGGCCAGTGTCTCCTTACTTCTTTCTCTGGGAGTGGGGTTTTAAAGTCCCCACCATTGTTGTGTCAGTTTCAGGTGTACAGCAAAGGGATTCAGAGACATATATATTCTTTTTCAGATTCTCTCCCATTATAGCTTATGAGAAGATACTCAGTATAGTTCCCCATGCTATACAGCAGGTCCTTGTTGTTTATCTGTTTTCCACATCGTAGTGTGTATGTTAATCCCCAGCTTCTAATTTCTCTCTCCCTGAGCCTTCCCCTTTGGTAACCATAATTTGTTTTCTGTGTCTGTGAGTCTGTTTCTGCTTTGTAAGTTCATTTGTATCATTTTTTTTTTACTCCACATATGTGGTATCATATATTTGTCTTTCAGATGCTTTACTTCTTTCTCACCACTTGCAGTCAACACAATTTTGGAAGTCCTAGCCACAGCAATCAGAAAAGCGAAAGAAAGAAAAATAATCCAAATTGGAAAGGAAGAAGTAAAACTGTCACTGTTTGCAGATGACATGATACTATACATAGAAAATCTTAAAGACGCCCCCAGAAAAATCCATTGAGCTCATCAATGAATTAGGTACCGCTGCAGGATCCAAAATTAACATGTAGAAATTTGTTTCATTTCTGTATAGTAACAGTGAACAGTCAGAAAGGAAAATTAAGGAGACGAGTCCAATTACCATATCAAAAATAATAAAATACCGAGCAATCAATCTATCTCAGGAGGTAAAAGGCCTGTCCTTGGAAAACTATTAAGACACCGATGACAGAAACTGAAGATGACACAGACAGGTGGAAAGACATACCGTGTCCTTGGACTGCAAGATTCAGTATTGTTAAAACGACCACACTACCCAAGGCAATCTACAGATTTCAGTGCAACCCCTGTCAAATTACCAATGGCATTTTTCACAGAAATGGAACAAAAAATGACCCCAAACAGCCATAACAATCTAAAGAATGGAGCTGGAGGAATCACTCCCTGACATCAGACTATACTGAAGAACTAGAGTAATCAGAAAGTATGATGTCAGCCTGAAAACAGACACATAGATCAACAGAACCGAACAGAGAGCCCAGAAATAAACCCACACACTTGGGGTCAGTTGAATCTACGACACAGGGTCAAGAACATACGATGAACAAAAGACAGTCTCTCTCAATAAGTGGTGCTGGGAAAACCGGGCAGTTACATGTAAAAGAATGCAATCAGAACATTCTCAGACACCATACACAAAAGTAAACAAGATGGAGTACAACCTAAATGTAAGACCAGATACTATAAAACACTAGAGGAAAACACAGGCAAAACACACTTTGACATAAATCACAGCAGTTATTTTTTGGATCCGTCTCCTAAAATGAAGGAAATAAAGGCAAAAATAAAATGCAACATAATTTAAACTTAAAAGCTTTTTCTGAAGAAAGGAAACCGTTGACAAAATGAGAAGACAGTGTCCTGAAACGGAGGAAATATTTGGACATGATATGATTGATGATGGATTAATATCTAATATATATAAACAATGCATACAATTCAACATCAAAGAAACAAATCAATTTAAAAATGGGCAGAAAAGCTGAACAATTTTCCAAAGAGGAAATGCTGATTTTCAGTAGGCACATGAAAAGATGCTCAACATCAGTCATCTGGCAAATGAAAGTGAAAAAACACAGTATCACCTCACACCTGTCAGAATGCCTATCTTCAAAATAGCACAAATAACAAATGTTCGCAAACTATGGAGAATAGGGGACGCTTGTACACTGTTGGTGGGAATGTATATTGGTCCAGCCACTGTGGAAAACAGAATGGATGTTTGTTAAAAAAAAAACTAAAAACAGGCTTACCGTATGATCCAGCAATTTCATTCCTGTGCATATATCCAAAGGAAATGAAGATACTAGTTCAAAAAGGTACACGCACCCCAGTGTTCACATCAGCATCATTTACAATTCCCATGCTATAGAAGCAACCTAAACGTCCATCGACAGATGACTGGATAAATAAGTGCTGGTATATTTATACAATGGAATACTGCTCAGACATAAAACAGAATGAGATAATGGCATTTGCAGCTACATGGATGGACTTGGCATTATGCTAAGTGAAACAAGTGAGACAGAGAAAGCAAATAGTGTACGGTATCACTTGTAATGTGGAATCTAAAAAGTACAAAATAGTGAAGATAACAAAAAAGAAGCAGACTCACACATACAGAGAACAAAGTCGTGGTTACCTCTAGGGAGAGGAGGGGGTGGGAAGTGTAGGGTTTGGGGTGTGAGGGTACAAACTACTGGGTGTAAGACAGGCTCAAAGCTGCAGCGTACAACACAGGGAATACAGTCCGCCCTTTGTCATAACTGTAAATGGAATTGTATAAAAAACTAAAAGAAAAAACTTACCAAATTGTAACATTCAAGTATGTGCAGTTTATTTCACATGATTTATATCTTCTTAAAGCTTTAAAATATGGTTTGAAATAAAAATCTGCGATTCCTTCTGTCCTTGGAAGTCAGGTTGAGTATGTTGATCCCCCATCTCTCTCCTCATGCCCTGGTGGAGGTGCCTTGCCTCACTGGTAGCAACGCTGGTGAGCCGTGGGGGCCGTTTCCACCTGAGTTAAGAGAAATGCAGGCTGCGTTAACATGTCTGCCACCTCCTCATCCTGCTCATCTTTGTGTACAGCAAAGATGTGAGAGGAAAAGCCCAGATAGGCTCCAGTATTCCACAAGGGCTTTTTTTCACAGCCATGGCCCTCACTCACAAGGTACACGGCCCAGGAGGCCAGAGGATTTCTGCACCTGCTCATCCTTCATGGCCAGTGACTAAACACGTGGATGCCATTTTGATAGAGGGACATTCCAACCAGTCTGCTGAGTCTCCTTCCTCCACTTCCTTTAAACCTAGTGTTTTTGTCACAAATATGATTCCTACTGTACTCTTACAACCAGGGATACTACTCTAAGGAGTTAATGGACAGCAGGACCTGTGGCCCCTCTGCAGGACCTGGAGAACAGATTTACATTAGTACTAAGCAATGCAACTTCTCCTGTGAACTGTACAAGTTCATGTTTCTCAAGAAGCAAAAGAAGTTGTCATAGGTGTGCCCTTCACAGGTTGACTCTGAACCCACAAAATCATGGCACTCAGACTACAAACTGACTCTGGGTAGCAATGCAAACTAAGGCCATCACTTTGTCCCCTCTGAGGCACATAAAGTTTAGGATCCCAGCAAAAACCGTTCATCCCTTTGTTAGCAGAGGCCACTTATTTTCAAACCACCCCATACAAGGAATAAAATTCCCATGAGTAAGCAGCAAGGCCTTCCTTCAGAATCACAAACCAGAGCAATAGGGGGCAGGCTGTTCTCAGGTTCACGATTGGAGGATGGAACATTCCATCACAGGACTCACGTGAGACCAAGAGTATTACTGAAAAAGTAAGCCATCTTTTCAAGTCACCAGCCAAGTCCTCTGAGCCAAAAGTGGGCCAGCTCCTCGGCCTGATGCATCAGAGAGGAAGCACTGAGTGCCCAGGTGCTCACTGTTCCCTCCAGCAAGTGGAGGACACCACCATGTGTTTCCCCAGCACACTGCGGGGTGAGTGGTGGGGAGAGGCTTTTACACTAGAACTGCAGGGACAGATACCTGCCAGCACAAAGACAGACGTGTGGGTCAGTGGATCAGAACAGAGAGCCCACAGACCTACAGTCAGTCCATACTCAACACAGGAGGCAAGAACACACAACGGAGAAGAGAGAGTCTAGTCTCTTCAGCAAGTGGTACTGGCACAGCTGGCCAGTCTCATGTAGACCAATGTGGTCAGAACACTCCCTCCTCACACCACACTGCATCATGTGGGAGCTCTAATTTGTTTGATAGAGCACCTCCACGTGCATACATGATGCAGCAAAATTAAACTCAAAACGATTTATAAAGACCTAAATGTAAGACGTGATACCACAAAACTCCTAGAAAACATAAGCAAAACATTGAGATAAATCATACCAATATTTTCTTATATCAGTCTCCCAAGGCAAAAGAAATAAAAGCAAAAATAAATAAAGGGGACCTAATTAAACTTAACAAGCTTTTGCACAGCTAAGGAAACCATAAAGAAAACGAAGACAACTTACAGAATGGGAAAAAATGTTTGCAAATGATGTGACCAACAAGGGGTTTATTTCCTAAATATACAAACAGCTCATACAGCTCAATAAAAACATACAAATCACCCAATCAAAAAATGGGCAGAAATCCTGAATAGACATTTCCCCAAAGAAGACATACACATGGCCAATAGGCATATGAAAAGATGCTCAACATTGCTATTTATTAGAGAAATGAAGATCAAAACTACAATACAGTATCATTTCACGCTGGTCAGCATGGCCATCATCAAAAAGTCTACAAATAAAACATGCTGGAGAGGGTGTGGAGTAAAGAGAACTGTCCTACATTGTTGAGGGGAATAAAAACTGGTGCAGCCACTATGGATAACAGTATGGAGGTGCCTTAAAAAACTGAAGTTGGAGCGAGCACAGAATGCAGCAATCCTACTCCTGAGCATATATCCAGAAAAGGCAATAGCTGTAATCCAAAAAGATACACGCACCCCAGTGTTCACAGCAGCACTATTTACCACAGCCAAGACATGCAGTAACATGGACGGACCTAGAGATTATCATACCAAGTAAAGTCAGTCAGAGAAACACAAATACTGTATCACACATGGAATCTTAAAAAAAAAATACAGATGAACTTATCTACAAAACAGACTCACAAACATAGAAAACAAGCTTATGGTTACCAAAGGGGAAAGTGAGTGGGAAGGGATAAATTAGAAGTTTGAGATTACCAGATAGACTACTATACATAAACAACAAGGACCTACTGTACAGCACAGGGAACCATATTCAATACCTTCTAATAATCTATAATGAAAAAGAATTCATATATGTATAACTAAGTCACTTTGCTATACACCACAAACTAACATGGTACTGTAAATCAACTGTACTCCAATAAAAATAAAATAAAAATAGAGAATTTCAGAGGCGTTCCTCAAGAACAGACCATGGTCCACGTGAACAGGGACCGTTTCAGTGATGACAGCTCCTGACACAAGCAGGCATGAGGAAACGTCAGCTAGAGGAAGCAGACCCTGCAGTACACAAGCTGGACAAGGTTATCTACCCGGGGCGAGGGCAAATAAGGTGTGATCCATTAAGACAACTGCAAAAGGTCTGCGTTTGACACCTTCCTGTGATGCTGCAGGGAGAATAGAGGGCAGTGCTCAGAGCTTACAGTACCAACCCCAGCACCTCCCCCAGGGAACTGAAGGGAGCGGTGTCCATGGTCCTGATGTGAGGACAGAGCTGCCACTGGGAAAGGGGAAGGGCAGAGACCAGCTCAGGGAACAGGGGTGGGTTTGAGGCTCTTAGCCAGGGAGGTGGCAAGTGCCAAGTTCGCCAGCATCACAGCACAGTACAGGCATCTCTGAGCCTCATCAAGGAGAACCTGTTCCTCCAGAAAAAGTTCACAGCTACATCTTCAAAGGTCACGCCATCCTGCTATGATGACGACAGATGGAGCCACAATCCATTCCTTCCCACCCCAAAGCTCCTCAACTCGGAGGAGAAATCAGGCCCCAGTACTACTGGTGCCACTTTCTCCTCTTGGGTCCACTGATCACTGGGTAAAGCCATCAGCAGCGAGAGGTAGGCAGGCAGGCAGGCAGAGATTTGAGCGGTGGGACTAGCCCAGTAGGACCCACACATCCACAGGCAACTCCCCTGGAATGGCTGTCACCATGTAATTCTCAGTACAGCGCCTTAGGCCACCAGACATGCTCTCTGACCAAACATCACCATAGAATGCATGGCCCTCGCCTCCAGATCCCACAGCCACAAGCCATGCCCACACAGGTGTCTCGTTGCCCTTCTCATGTTACTTGTACTTCAGTCTCCCCTTCATACCACCACTGGTGAGGGTTTAATTCCCACCCTAAGTCTGTGGCCAGACACCACCTGACACTGGCCAGATGCAATCAACAGCCATTTATTAATCAGGTATTAGTACGTGGGAGAGGACACACCACACAAAGGCCACGTGCAGGGTGGACCCCAGTAAAGTGACCAACCAAGGGCTGTGGGATCAGGAGGGCAGGACGCCCCACTTCCTCCAGGAGAATGTGATTGGCTGCAGGTTGGTAGGGACTGAAACCCACCCCAAAGGGATACACAGGAACTGCACCTGCTCTGTTGAGACAAAGGGCTG